TTTATGGTCAAAAATGGGAAAAACCTATTTTTACCCCATAAAACCCCCCATAAACACCCGTTCCCATAGTCCGATCATGCTGGTTCGCGAACTCATTCAAGTTTATCCCGCCTTACACCTTTAAACCAAATTTTATGAAAATCGGACAAAAATTACTCAAGTTATCGTGCGGATGGACACATATATATATATATATATATATATATATATATATATATATATATATATATCTCTATATATAGATATATAAAAATTTGAACGAATGGTGTTTTTGGCCTCTGGGGACATCAAAATGAAAAAGTAAATCGGTCCCGGGCTTAGGTCTTACCATGAGACCTACGGTAATAGCTACTTCCCTATAGGGAAATTCGCTAATAAAACAATGTATGTACTTTGTTGTGTATTCGACCTAGCTTCGTCTCTAATTTCCCAGTCGCCGTTGTGTTTTGACGGGCGAGTGTCTGGGAGTAAAACGAATTCAGTGTTAACAGATTGTGAGTGAATGACGGCACTTAGTCATTTCAAAATTACTTAAGTCTGTTTTCAGTAGACGTCTTCTAAGTGGAGGGTGACTTGGGACGTGACGACAGCTGATTGATTACAAAAAATATTATCTAGAGATATTTGTGTTGAATAACTTTCGCAAAATCACTTTGAACACTAAAGCGAAATGGCTAATACTTTTGACTATAAATAAAGGGATCGTGATTTTGTTGCCAGTTTTTGAATAATGAAATATTTTGTTCAACCATGAAAATGTTCAAGTTGTGAACAAGGCAGGGGATAGCTGTGTGAATGAAGTAGTCGCTGCGAATATTAAGAACAGAAACAGTATTGACCATAAACAAAAACAGATTACGTCACGGACTTGAAAATAAACATGTTTTTATTAATATTTAATTGGAACTGTCAACAAATGTTATGGAACAAACCAGCTGCGGCTACTAGTTTAGATATTCGGGCCAGTGATGTAATTTTTTAATGTTAATCCATACCGTTTCTGTTCTAATATTCGTTGTGTCGCACGACAGTCAAAAGGCGTTAATCGATACTGGGAAGTCAGTATTTTTTTATGGTTTGCAACTAGACATAGGACTAGCTGACCGTCACCATTGGTCTTTAATAAATAATGGTCGTGACTAGAGAAAAGCTGATATTTAAACAGTGAGTCAATGTTATACACACATCTCAATTCTTCACTCACCGTTCATTTCATATCTAGCTTTAAAATACTTAACATTTGGGCGACTATCTTTTAGATGATGACATGAATATCGATACAAATTTGTGATTCTGACTTTTACTAACTCCTTAAGGTAGTAGGGGTGTATTAAAAATGGCATACTGATGTTTTTCAAACTAGTGTATGTTTATATTATAAAACACTTTGAAGTGAATGGAACAAACAGAAACAGTGGTGAGGGAGATCCAGCATACTTTGTGTGTTAAGATTCTATGCTACTATACTAAACACCGTCGATGTATGTGAAGTACGGATGTCCTGTAGAGCTGTATGTTTAAATATCTCCCCCGCCATGTAGCCGTGCTCCAGCTGGTGTTAGGTGACACAGTGACGGAATTAGCCTTGATGAGTCACGGACCGTGCATGGTGCATCTCTGGTGCAGTCTATCTCCTCATCTTCCCACCACACAGCACGGCGCGTCTCCGCAACTGTGACGTCACTAGGCGAGAATACCTAGCGTCGCAGCTGGACCGTGCCTTGGTGTAGTGTGGGTGTTAAATGTCATTTGACGGTCCACCGGGATTGCGCCACTAGGGTCAGGTAGACACCGGCAAAGCGCCACTGCCAAATCTAACCCTCCCCAAAACGCATCGTCTTTGCGCCAATGTGGCATTTCTTCAAGTTTAGAAAATACTTAAAGTTCAACATTAGTTTCTCCCTTCATTATCGGTTTAGGTTACATTCCATCTTCCGCCCGATTATTCCGGCTACCAGACTACCTGGGGAATCGTCATAGAACTACAAGGTAGCGTTGGCGCAATCCCGGTGCGTGCCAGGCTGACCCTTTTGAACCCTCACATAACTGGTGCAATCCCGGTCTACCCCCATTTGAAAGTGCAGTAGTATCGATTGTCCGTCTTTGGCTGCGGCAATGTCGGATAAGCGGAAAACATCTGATTAACTGGAAATTATATGCAAAACTTTAACATCATGCAAGTTATTGAATTTAAGTTTCTCTCTTGCTTATATTATAAGAGCACAGAAGCTCGGATAACCATAGAGCGGTTTAACGAAACTCTACTGTAGTACTGTAGTATAGTTTGAAGTTCTCCTCTAAATTAGGGATTTAACTTGTAACTTTGACATACAGCTGGTGATGGGCTTCGAACTTTTGGGGGTTTTGGCTGTGGGATAGTTTTTATGCAGTATCCAAACCGGGATAGTGGTTATGGAATCAAGGAGTTTTATGGTATTTGGTGTCAATTAATCCATTCCTTGGATTTAAAATATGCATATTGTTGTAAGGATTTAAAATGTATGGGGGTTTTTAATACAGAAACTTGCCCTCTCTGTATGGGAGTCTACTGTACAAGGTGTTCTTTGAACCACTGGATTTCTGCTATGTTATATATTTATGTACTAGACTGGCTGAAAACGTTCTTAAAAAGTGTTAAAGTTGGGTTGTAGTCACAATTTATAAATAGGGGGGGGGGAGTGCATTTCAAAATTCTACCTTTAACATGAAATTGTTCTTTTCTTAATTAAACTAATAAAATGGCTGACATCTATATTTTAAACAGACGGATTGTAAAAGATCCTGACTGTATAATATTTTTTCAACACTTGTTAAGAATGCCTTCTTTATATACAAAAAATGTATAATGTACATGTCTTTCTTCTCCCTCCACACCTTGTAATGAATGAGTGTTGTTTATTTACGCCACAGCTGTTTCTACAAGATCCATGGCATTAAGTTACAATTTTAATAGTGCTTCTCAACCTGGTTGCATAAACATCTGGTTAAACATTATCAGATGTTTTACTTTTCTTTATTGTTTACCGTTGGTTGTTACTTGATAACTTAATCAAGAGTGTAACAATCCAGGTTGTTTGCAAGGACGTTAATTGTAGCTTATTCCAAAGAAGGATTCCGGCACCGTATCTAAAACTTCGATCAAAATATTGACCATTTCGTCGACCTGGTTGCCAATTGAAGATCAAGATTATAAAATATACCGTAGAGGAATACCTTCCACTTAAATTAAGATATAAGTTTGGATAATGGTATCTTCCAAAATCGAAATCAAATGAAAAACAAAATTATTTCCTGGTTCCTTCGCTCAAGGTTATAGGTACTTTGATTTTACATGGTGATGGTTTACCATTTACTTTTGGATACTAAAGTTGGCATTCCATCCATGGATCAGCCGTTCCCAGTTTTTTTTTAAATGAGTCAACCATACACTATTACACTGGTGTATATAAACTATTTTTTCTATTTTTTAATTGGGTTATTTGGCGTGACACAAACGATGCTATAGCTTGCAATAGGTTGTCCTATCAGTTCCATTCGGCTAATATAATCGCATAGGTATTGTACAGAAAGCAGTAATTTACATCTCAGCACAAATCTGTCTGTGGCTCAATTCATCTACTTCCTTTATGACGAAACAAATGTCAACAACTCCATGGGGATGAGATGTCTGGTTCTTTCAATAGTCAATGTCTCATAGTCTTTCTTGTTTGTCTTTTGACAATCAACATATCTGTATAGCAAATGATACAAAACGTTAAACAAGAAACTAGGATTTTGATTGTTCAATTTAAATTAAACTACTGTAATGTAACATTCTCCGATGTAACGCGACAAACCCGAGTTCGCTGAATAGTATCAAATAAAATAAATATTAAACCCGTTGAAAAACTGTGCACAGCTATCTAAAAATGATATTCGTCTCTTTCACAAGATTGCTACTACCATTCCCGCCGGAAGCGTTATCAATGGTCCAGGAACTCCCAACTCCCTTCTGTGTGACCTAGTGATAACAGCTCCAGGATATGACGTCTGTGTTATCAGTCATGCGGCCATGACTGTTCCGCGGAGACATTTGCGAGAGAGATTGTAACATCCTTTGAACTACTTGAAATCCCGCTCTTGAAATCTGATCGATCCAGATTGCATTGCAAACATCAGTCTAGTATTGATGGTAAGAAATATTGACTCAGAGATAATCTCTTGATAAGTACGAGAAAAGGCAATTTAGGCTTTAGTTATTTTTGTAAGCATATGCATTTTTATCCAAACTAAGGAATCGAGGCTGTTAGTTATGGGTTTGTAGCCGCATCTATTAACATTGCATTAACAAAACTACTCAACATATCTTGAGCAGGACTTCCATCAAAACTCATTACATCTTCATCAGTTAGGCTTTGCAACAAAATATCCTTAATGACCTCTAGGTTGTGTTTTACACCCTAAACTAGTTTAACAACCTGTTGATCCATTCCTTGTGTCAAAATGTTTTCGTTGGGACTTTCAATCACAATACTTTCTACGCCTTTATTTAGTTTTACCTTCCCCAACATTTTCTTACTACATCTTGAGTTAGCTCTTTAACCAAAATACTTTTCCCAAATATCCCAATCAGTAATCATACCAACATCAAAATGTTTGGTATAATATTTTGAAATATACCTTGACCTGGAGCTACTTTAAACCCACTAATTAGTTAACCTCAGCCTCGAAGGGTTTATAAAATTCGCATACCTCTTCTTCAATTCGCCTCCATCAAACATGTTAAAGACTCTTTCAGTTATACCATAATTAAAATATGTTTAACCTTTTTTTTTAGAAAGGATTTTCAAATGCTTTCCATCACCTCTTCAGTGATCCTTCCTATGTGTTTGAAATTCTTTTTAGTTTGTAAATCCAAATGCTTTTACAGTTACACCCGACTATTGCTCTCAAATCGCCAAATTCATTATGTTTTTTTCTTTTGTCAAAATCAAGTTGAAATTTTCCTTGACCATTCCCAGATAGACGATCTCCAACAACGCCGCAAAGTTCCGGTGATCGCCGGGGGAACTTACTACTATGTGGAGTCCCTGCTGTGGAACTTCCTCATGGATGCGTCTCCTCCTCCTCAGAAGCGGCCGCGCCTGGATGTGAGCGGTCTGGGGAACCTGAGCTACCTGATCGCCGACACAATGGACAATGTGATGGTGGACCCAGTGGAGAAACTGGCTGCAGGAGACAAGGAGAAACTCCACCAAGCTCTGCAGAGTGTGGATCCTGCAAGAGCAAATGAGTTGCACCCGAACAACGTCAGGAAAGTTATCAGGTAAGAATCAGAAAATAGCAGAGGTGGATTGTAAATTTGGAACTTTCTGTTGGGTCTGTTGTACGTGTCGTTATTTTGCCGCAACGTTTTAGTAGATGAGCTCACTGAGGGTGTTAGAACTTGCTCTTCAACAGCTTTGCCGTACCAATATGTCTTCTGTTTTGCTTTCCACGTCTTCGTTCTGATTGAAGAAACATCACAACAGAAACATTTGATCAGTCTTAGATTTAAGAAATGTAAGCGACTCCTTCCTTGGTTTAAATAGTACTCTTGGAGATTCAGAGGCCTCGATCAGACATGTATGTGGGCAGAACTCAAGACTAAAAGTCATGCAGTGTTGTTGCCTATCACCGTTGCTACTGGGTAAGCTCAATCCCACAATCTCTTTGAAGAATAATTAACTCAAATCAAATAGCGAAAGTGTAAACCTAGGCCTACATTGAGAAAGCGGACTGATGATTTAGCAAATATTTTCGGTCTCATTGTTAATTCTTGTGGTCTCTTGATCACAAGTGTTACCTTCATGTGGTTGGGAAGTGGAAGTATATAAATAAAATATTAAATTCAAAAGTTTGTTTAAACATTTAATTTCACAATATATTGATTTACTCTTGTATCCACCAGTGAACATTCTAAACTTCATTTCCAACCGAGACTAGAACCACTTAACTATCAATTGAAAGAATGTTCCAAAGATTCCACTGGTTGTAAGACAGCATAATTTACAACTTACGATAAGACAAGTAAATAATAGTTGAAGAGTGGCCTGTAATAACATTAATGTTACTACATATGTTGGTGATAAGCGGGTGGCGGCTGCCCTCGTGACCTTGGTGTTGTTATCAGTCTTATCAGGTCTATGAACCAAGAGGCGCCCCAGTAACCCGTCTGGTTGTACTAATCGCGCGATACTTTGCATGCTCTCGTTACATTGTATCGCACTGATTACAGAAAGGACTTGGTTGGAGAAATGTTTGGGTTGATAGTCGAATTTGTATAATTGTATGTTCTTTATTTGTTTTCGGAAGTATGGATATTCTTCAACGCTGATTTAGGAAAATGGGTTGAGATTGTGAAATTTGGTTACCTCCCGCTATCTCCGCGTCCCGCCACCTCCGTGTCCCGCCATCTCCGAATTTCAGAGTGACCCCTTGGTTACTACCTGCGTTAAGACTTTCCGTCCTAACCTAACCTAACCTAACCTAACCTAACCTAACCCAACCCCACCTAACCTAACCTAACCCACGGGTTAAATTTTCCTCCCATCCACGGGGCTTCGCAGCCGTGGATGCAATGACAGCTACCAACGCAGGCAGTGACGGGATTATAAGGGGCACTCAAGAATTCGGAGGTGGCGGGACAGATTTGGGTTCGGAGGGGGCGGAACGCGGAGATAGCGGGAGCACACGGTGAAATTTCCTGGATGGTTTCTTTGAATCATCGTGTCTTCTACAAAAGTGTTTGGAGCATTTTGTTGAGTTAGGTGATCCAATTGGTAACGCAGAGGTTTCTGTGTGCTTCAGTCACACGAAGTCAAACTCTCTTTAGGTCACAAGAACTGGGTTGCTTATAAAGATAAATTTTCGGGAAACTTGGATGCTCCACCTTAGCATCACGACTTGAACTGGGAGCATTTAGCCACGAATTCATTACTGTAAACTAACCTTAGAAGAATGAAAGCTTTTCATTATTCTTGCTAAAGTTTGATTGTTCTTGATGAAATTGCTTCACGTTGTAGCTCCATTTTTAAGCCAAACAGATATAATAGCATGGCAAGGTAACGGCTGTATCATAAATTACGAATCCTTTCTCATTTGTGGACACAAATTTGAAGACATTTTGTCTACCCTTGCTATCCCACGAATATGTGCTGGCAAATTTTTTGACTACAAAAACCCCAGTCCTGATTTAGCCTCAGGTCAAATTAAGAAACTTAACCTTCCTGAACTAAGGCCGTCCGAGATTGGATTGGATCCTCACTTGGTTGAAGACGTAGTCAACTTGCGTGCTTTTAATCAACAAACCCTTTTCCAACCCTTAAAATTACGAAACCCCAGCTCGTGCCTGTCTATTCACACAGCAACCTAATGAATCGCATTTCCGCTACCCGCTTCAGTTCCCACCGTTCCAAGAACCGCGGTCAGTTTTTGTCAGGGATTATCACCAGAGTGATACACCCGCCAAGGTCACTGATAGCGAGGTCGAGGGGTGAGATAAGGGTATCACCCCTTGGGAACTACCACCACCCGCTCGTTAGTCAAGGAGCCGTTGGAAGGCGGCGTCGTTAACGACGGTTCTTGTGGCTCGTAAAACGAGACGTGGAGTCTCATTCCTCATCGTCGGCGCGCCGTCAAAGATGCACATTTTGCATGTTGTAGTTCGTAAGTGGGAATTGGCTATGCTCAACAAAGAGTACTTAGCGTCTTGAACTAGATTTGTGATCTCATGATGAGTAGTTTATTTTATCCACTACTTACGGTATTTGTATTGTGTGGGGGGTTCCCCTTAAATTTACGATTGGAAATGCTTAGTCATCAGAAACAGTTTGTGAATTTTTAATCTTGATCTATTTCAACTCTGATTATGCATACGTTTCATTTTTGGAGTATTATAAACTACTGCGCCAACACAATATACCTTGTAGATATAAAGGTGGAAAGGGTGTCGATGAGTAAATAAAAATAAATTAATTATATGGTATTGTTAAATGTTTTATGACTTTGACGATTTAGTCCAACGAGTGATAGGAAACAATACTTGTATGCGCATTTAACATTTTCTAATGTATTTTACATACTGCGGCCTCAACTAGGTTTAAAAATGAGGAAATATTTCTAAACTTGTGGGGGAAACGCTAAACGGCATTTGATATCATGCTTATTCATATTAGTAAATTGTCAAGAGGTTCCTGTGTCCAAATATGAATAATTGGATTAACTGCTCTTAAAGATAAGAAAAGTATAAAAAAAGTTAGCCATGGCGACGAAATACAATTTTTGATTCGTTTCGCCTGAAAAGTCAGTGAAAGCCTATGTTAATCATTGCTCTTGTGTGTGCCATTCTAAACCCCCGTAATCATTTTTGGCGGTCATTAGCACACTGAAATTAATAATTTTCTCTTAGAACGATCAACACCAGTTAATAAGAGGAAGCGTCAAAGTGATATGAATATCCGTACTACACGTGTTTCATGTTACTCTATCGTCAGTTTGGAGAACTCGGGAGAAGGAAATGGTTAACAATTTTGACCTAAAACAGGGCTGTATGCTAAAAAATATTAAGGGGGATGTATATTCAAATCCAATTCTCAATTCGTTCAGTATTTAAATCAGTTGGCGTTCCTAATATAAATTGTATGTATATTTTTAATAACTGAAAACAATTTAAGTAAACAATTTTTATCTTCGAAGCGGTACAGCTTTTTTTGGTAGTTCAATCTGGGGCAAATTGGTAACACTGAGAACTGTATTTTACTTAGGGCCATTGAAGTTTGATATACAAATCTATGAGTTTAAAATCTACTCATTACCATTCTCGAAGCCTACTCTTGTTGCAGTTGCTTACAACCTTCAACTTTTTCATTATGTTTTTTTTAACCATAACCACCCATCGCCACTGATCTATCCCCGGTGACCTAAACAGCGATTACCCGCATATGGGCGGGGCTATTGGTGACTGGTAACTGCAGTGGCTTTTAGTGGAGGTGGTCAATCTTGAACCATCATCTGGCTTATGAGCCGCACAACTGAGTTATTGTATTTACTGCTGAAAAAATCAAATTATATCTGATTGTCGACTTTGTGTTCATCCAATCACAGCTTGTAGACAATTTCAGTAATGTCAAGAACAAGGAAACACAGATAATCAAGCCACATACTACTCTTGTTTTCATTAGATGTTTAAAAAACGATCATTAGCTTCGCTTTGAAAATATTCCAGATCGGCGACAGTAGTGAAATGGGTCGGCAGTTTGTTTGATTTATTCCTGGCAACAAGGCCTGACTGCTCGTGTGCACTTTACGGTAGGCTTTACAACAAGTACTCTGGGACAAGGTCTTGTGGCTTATTTAGGAACTGAATGTGTAAGTCTGGAATGCGTTTGACGATAGTGTCCACGCAACTTACAAGATAAACGGCTACGGTCATAAATACTTAAACAATATATGGTAGGAGGTTGCCTAAAGAGTCAAGCAGGAAAAATACGTTAAGCGGTTGAAAGGTTTGTATGTTTTTCATATTTAACTCAAACTACACAATGGTTTACAAAATCGTAATTTTCCCCTCTCCCCCCAATACTTCACTTAATTTCTTTTGCGATTCGTCAACTTCTCGCTCGTTTTCATGATTGAAACATCAAATCTGCCAAAGTAACCTTTGCAAACAATAGGCTATTTGGTGGAACATATTGGCATTAGCATAACATCGTTCGTGAACGTGAGTATAATTTATATCTTATCATAACCGTAGAAGATCCGATCGTGGTTTCATATTTATTTTCTTAAGTGACGTCGCAAAAGAGGTGTGATGGGTGAGAAATGCAAATCTTGGAGTTCCTCTTACGTCATTGTTTTTCCTATGTACTTTTTGCGCTAAATATCTTCACTTTGGATTACACTTGCTGATTCTTATGTACCATGTCTTAGCTTATCTTCTCATTACCAACTGAAAATTTTTTCTTAAGGTAAAATGGTATGGTGGATGCATGCGTTAAAAAAACAACATTTCATTAGGTATTTTAAGAAGAAGTAATGGAGTAATTTGTAAATGAAAATTGATTGATTGAATGAAAACAGAGATCTGATACATGGTATATTATGAAATAAATAATAATAATAAATCTTTATCCCACCACAAGTTATACAATCAATCACAATGTACCATACTCTAAAATATAAATTATCTCCAAGTTAAAACAATGAACATAAAGACTTATATCACATTTGTTAATCAACGAAAACAATTTGCTTTTAAATTGTGAATAAATAAAACCCAAGAAAACCAAAACTTCTGAGTGGGCGGGAGTCCAATCAATTAATGAACTTAATAAAAATCAAAGTCATTTGATTTCAAAATGGCACGATATCGTCGCACAAAAGCTTAATCGACAAAATGTTTCAGTTTTAAGATTAGAGTCCGTTGTAATTCCTAGATGTACCATAGTGTTTCCAAAAAAACCATTCCGTCACTTCCTAATAGATTTTTAACAAACAATTGTTCTTGAAGCTTTATCATCGGTTCTCCATGCACTCGACTATAGTTCCTTAATAGACTTGTCAATGTAGACTTTAAGAACTCGCCAACGGATTATTTACCACTTCAATTGATATACCTGTCAAGTCTTTTTACTGACATATGTTAATTAACTATTGATTTTCGACGAATGAATATTCTTGACAGACTTTTCATTAGTTTCCCATACAACACTCGCCTATAGCTCATCGAAGACTTGTCAATGTTGACTCGGTAAACTCGCGAAGGATCATTTACCACTTATATACTTGTCATTTCTCTACTGACGTTTGTTAATTAATTCTCAATAGAGTCGTCTAAACGAGCCGATCAGGAGCACGGTTGATTGCTCCGTGACAGTTACAGTTTGGCGGTTAATAGATGTCGCTGGCGCCACGGATGTATGTTCAGGTGCGCAACACAGCGACACATGTGTATGCACAACTGTTGCGCTACTTGCCGCGCCACTGACTCCAACTTACGCCTCTTTCACACGAAGCGGCGCGCGCCGTACGGCGTCCGTCGCGCGGCGCTGCGCCGGACAAGCGTGTGTCTTCACACTAGTACGGTTTCGTGCGGCGAGCGCCGTACGGCACTCCTAAATATTTATTATTTTCTGTTCAGTTATGGCTTTTAAATGAATACTCCACTTAAAAGTTCAAATTAAATGAATAGGATAATTTTAAATATAATAAACTAGTGCACCTGTTGCTCGAATTTGAGCAATTGCAAAATATTAAAGGAGTTTTTTTTACGAATAACTGTCACTATTTCCGTTGACGTGTGAGAGTCAACTCAAAGATAATGTAACCAATCACTCCACTCCAGTTATCGAAACTGGAAACGAACTCACTCTGAAAACGAACGATCACTCCACTCCATCTATCGAAACTGAAAACGAAAACTCTTGTGTGTATCATGTGTGTACTATGAACAGCTGTAATTAATACAAATTATTCGTCCGTTTAACTAAACAAAATCTTGTCTTCATAAGATATACATTGGGATTTTGATGGCCTGAGGGGCAAAGCCCGAGGACTTTTACTACAGGAATTGATGAAAGGGGGCGTGTACACAACAAATACTTAATTTTGACACATCGTTTGTAAAAATCGGTTCATTATTAACGGAGGAGTAGTATTTCGTAGAAATCACCTTCACGTATTATATATAAGTATTCGTCATATCTGAAAATATTGTATTCTAGAAGTTAAAAAAATGATTCATTACTTATAAATTACTAAATTATTAATTTAATACTAAATATTCTCCTCTAGTTATTAAAGGAAAATTTTTGTTTTAATACTTTAAGTTGGTCGATTTGCATGGGATTAACATAAAAATGTATGTTTTGTAATAACTTTAAATATATTATTTTCCG